GGTTATTGCTGTGCGAGGGGAAATGGGACCGCCCAAATCGACTATATGGACAGTGCCCACGACGGCCGCTCCGAGGCCAATGCTTCTGGCTGAGTTTACCATGGGAGGTATCGAGTGAGACTGTCGACAGGTTGCATCAACTCATACCTGCGTTTACTAAGACGAAGGCTGATATCGAGACGGAAGTCAACAGGAGGGTGTGACGACGACGACGCCGAACACCGTTCAAGGGGATCCGGCTGGGTAGCTAGAACCTCAATCGGGCGGGGTCGGCCAATTTCAAGGGGAGTGAGATTCTGAGGTGCCTTTCAATGCGAGATTGCATATGGGGTGTTCAGGAATGCCAGAATCTTTTTGGAGGCAAATTCGATGCATATATCAGACGGTGTGGCCTTTCATATCGTGTGAGTTGTGACGGTAAGTGTGGGTTATTATTTACTAAAGAGTGGAGTACGTGTGTGCGTGAATCACTATGTCAATATGAACGGTTCTGTGTGGTGGTCTTTGGTAGTGGAAGTGCCCCTGTGATAGTTGCCTCTGCGTATCTTCCCGACCCCGGCGTCGAGAACGCCGTAGATGTGCAGTGCGTGGTGTTGGACGTGCTCGAGTCAGTTATTCTCACTCCGCGCAGCCGCTGGAAGGGAGCGACTGTCTCTGTGCTGCTCGATGCCAACGTTGAGCTATCCCCATCAACTCAGCTGCAGTGCTCACGCACTGGGACTGTCTATGAGGCGGTGGGAAGTGCTACCAAGGAGGAGAGGAGGACTTGCGAGGAGGGTGGTGCACAGCGGGTGAGGAGGGACGTACGACAACAGTTGCGCGAGCGTGTTCTGTGCTTTCTAGGGCGCCTGGGGATGAAGGCTGCCAATTCGTTCTTGCCACGACGACTACACACATGGGAGAGCTACGGAGTATCTCGGTGGGGGACGTGTAAGAAGGTTCTTGATTACATTTTTGTTCCCAGGACGTGGGTGATCGATGAGATGACGGTCGAAAATATCATGAGTAATGGGGGGAAGACAAATCGTAGTCGTCTCAGCGACCATGGCCTGCTTCAGGGGACTTTTAGTGACACAGGCGCTGAGCTGGTCAAACGTAGTATCCCGACGGCAGCTCGTGAAAAGAGTTTGGTAGGTTATAAGACGGTGAATTGGGGGGACCTCAATATGGCGCGAAAGGAAATCGATCGGGTCTTGGGAGATGCCAATACTACTTGTTCTCCAGGGGACCTTGTGTCGACCACTATTCGGGCCTGTACTGAGCAGGAGGAAATCAAATTCACGACTGCCACCACGGGACGGGGACTACCGCCAATTAGGCCTGCAGGGCTCACGGCCTGCCAGGGGATTTCGCGACGGAAGCCTCTGCCAGCGTCAGTGGATGTGCCCAGCTTGCGCAGACGTGCCAACGGACTGCGGAGGGAGTATCGTGCGGCGTTGGCCGCGTGGACCTCCCCTGCCTCCAGGCGCAAAGAGCGTCATGGTATCAAGCACCGCATTGTGCAGGGACGGATATCTGAGGACAGGGAGGAGTGGGTGGAGGAGATCAGAGCACATACCAGACAGAGGTATACTTCGGAGGAGGTCAGAGGACGGGATATGGCGATGTTGGAGGAGTTGAGGAGGGATGCACAACAGAACCTATGTGACGGGTACTGCACTGAGGGACTGACAATGGCGGTGGTATGCCAGGCACGGTCACGTCTCAAGTCCAAGCGTGCCACTGGCCCCGACAGGCTGCCTTGTGAAATGCTCAAGGCATTGCCGTGGGCGACTTTGCGTGGCGTTGCTCGGATGTTTGATGAGATATTTCGCTTGGCACGGCAGTATCCGCAGGACTGGAGGCAAATTTTGATCGCCTTCATGCCCAAGCTGCCGAGCTTGACATCGCTGACAGATGCACGGTACCCCTGTCTGCAAAACAGTCTCAGCCGTTGGTATTCTGCTTGTGTGGTGATCTTGGTCGAACAATTTGTGTCTCGGGCTGGCCTCATGGGACCCCTGGGCATCTACGGCTTCCAGGAGGGACGTAAGACGGTGGAAATTGTGGGGGCCCTCAAGGCTCTGGCTCAACATGGGGACATCTGGGGAAAGGATCAGACGGTCCATATCGCTAACGCCGATATCAAACAAGCGTTCGACCACTGCAGCCTTCAAAACGCCAAGCGAGCTATGTGCCATGCCAATATTCCTGCCTATCTCCAGTATGCTCTTGCTTTCACCGCTGGTTTGCACTACGGGGTCGTTAGTTGTCGAGGGTATGGCCATTCACGACATCAACTGGGACGTCTGCATACGGACGGGCGGCCCTGAGGGGCCTCTTCTCTTTAATCTTATCATATGTGCCATGTGGGGACCTATATTTCGGGATTGGGACAGTAGAGGAGTGGGGTATGTGCTGGAGGGCGTCTGTGGCGAGTATGGGCGACGGACAATAGTGAACCACTTTGTGTGGGTGGACAACTGCTACCTTGTCTCTGCCTCCTCAACTGTGTTGGCTCAGATGATGCACGATCTAACACTACCACTACATGACTGGGGGATGAGATGGAAGGATCGCAGCTTGTTGTACATGACATGTGGGGAAAATGCAAAAGTGGACGGTGACGGACATATACTTACCAGCGAGGATTTGTGTATACCTGCGTGCTCGAGATATCAGGACTTTAGACTTCGACGTGTTTGCAGAATGAAAGTATTGGGTCATGAGATTTTCTCCACCTACTTAGTGCCCGCTCATCCTGATGTGGAATATCGCATCAAGGAGGCTCGTGCTTGTTTCATTGGACAGTCGAATTTCTTTCGTAACAGAGCGGTAGCTGTTCGTGATAAGTTTTGTCGTTATCAAGACAAGGTGCAGAGTATGGCGTTGTATTGTCTAGAGACATGTACTGCTGATACTTCCTCGCTGCACATGCTCAATGCCTTCGAGGGATGGTGTTTGTGCCGAATGTTTCGACGGCCGAGGAGAGAGGAGGAGACTATGGCGGACTGGAACCGACGACGGTACCACGAGGCCAGAGAGCAATTTCGATCTTATGGATTTGCGAGTTTGGTGCAGCGATTTCTTCGTATGGTGTGGAACTCCGCTAAGGATGCTGCTGATTTCATTTCTATGTTGTGTACTGCTTCTCATGAGGAAATATCTTCGACGCAACGTACGTGGAGAGATCACCACATGACTACGGTTGCGTATGGCCCACTGTGGGACAGACTCAGGACGGATGCGTCTGAGTGCTTGCGGGGTATGTTTCACTTCCAAGAGGCTTCGCAGCTAAAAAGGAGACACGTTAGTTCAGGTCGAGCTGTCGGCCAGAGATGCTGGCTATTTTCTTTTTGCGAATTCTACGGACTCAAATGGTGGGAGTCCTGTGTGCCGACAGATGCTGCGTATGTCCAGTTCTGCGAGCACATGTGTACACGGACGATGCTGAGTTATTTTCAGAAAAGAAAAGGGTACGGTACAACAGGTGGGGCCCCGCAGGAGGTACTTACCATCACACAAAACGACCTACGCACCTATGGGGCCCAAGAGGGCACTGCGGCGTTCAACGACAAACTGGCCAAACGTATTGCGTTACAAAATATGAAGGAGGTTGAGTACGACCTCGACTCATTTGGGATCCCTGTGTACATTTCTGGGGACAGTCTTCTGGTGGTGTCTTGGCTGCAGCGTGTCTGGAGGGTGCTTAATCGTACGTATCAGGATAGGATCAGCAGAATGATAAACCAACTCGACAACATGTGTCAAACGTATGGAATTAGGCCTGCCTGTCATGGGAGGGAAATTGTTGACCACACATATAGGGAATGGAACACGCGTGCAGATGTACTCACTCATACGGCCCGTGTCGGGCCACCAGTGATTCGAGATAGGATGGGGCTTCACGCCCCTCAGTTACAACAGGTGTTTCGCGTTTGTGCCATCAGAGCTGGATTCGATGGTGGTGTCTCTTGCGACGGCGGGGGGGTCGGGTGCTGGATAGATGTTGGACGGGTATCGAGGCTCTCAAGGCAGCCGCTCAGCCATGAGATTATTTGGACGGAGGTGTACAGTGCGGCACTCTCGATTGATCCAACTTCAACAGTGACTGATGCCGAGGTCTCGGCCGTTGAGCATACGATTAGGATCTTGCCGCGGGTTGTACAAGCGTATTTCGGACAGGATATGATGTGATTTTGATTGTGCTCACTCACGCCATGCCTCTGTTTGTCGTGTGTGTGTGCTTGACCTCTCATCCTCCTAATAAGAGTTGGCTTTCGCCTCTGATCGTTTGGATCGGTGAGGCTTCCGCCTACTCCCGATGCGCCCGCTCCTTGCTTCCGACTAGGCTGGAAAGCCTGCACAGTCGACCGCAAAGTCCGCAAAAAAGAAAGGTTGACGGTTTACCGCCGGCGCCCAGTGGAGGAGCTGCTGGCGGGCACCACCACCGTCCGGCTTCTTAATACCTCGTTCAGCTCTTCGGCAACGATGAGCTAGAGGAATTCTGGCGCGGGGTGGAGCTAGTTGGCCGACCCGAGCAGAAGAGACAATGTGACAACTTTGGGTCGGTTTTCCGAATATTTGAAAGATATTTGACAATTCATTTGGAGAGCGGGTATTTTTCTCACGTGTAGTGGGTTATGCCGCGTCTGCCAGTTAAATTGTCAGGTTCGTAGCTGCAATATTTCTGTGAAAAGAGTTGAGGGAACCGTCGGCCGTTTCAGGAAGGACAATGTGGCAACTTTTTGTCGGTTTTGCTAAGATTTGAGAGATATTTCAATATTGATTGTGAGAAAGCAGATTCTTTGCACCTGTAAACGACTATGAGGGCCTCTGCGTCTTAATATGAGCTCTGTAGACGCAAATTTACTATCAAAACACTTGGAGCAACCAACTCAATCTCGACAGGAAAAACATCAACGTTCAATTTTTCGAGAAATGCCTCCAGAAGCTCTTTCTCTCGACTCTGAGCACTTTACGCGTGGGAGGAGCTCCACGAGATTCCCGGCTCAAGTATCAAGAAAATCTCGGCTCAAGGCGCGTGACATTTGATCCCCTCTGCCTGGGTAACCTCCAGTGGGATCGAGTGCGCGTCAGGGAGTCACACGTTTGTCGCCTAGAGTGATATTGCACTGCCATTCTTCTGACACGTTTGATCGCCTTGAGTGGTCTTCAATTGATTTGTTTCACACGTTTGTCGCCTAGAGTGATATTGCACTGCCATTCATTTGACACGTTTGATCGCCTTGAGTGGTCTTCAATTGATTTGTTTTGCTGGGGCTTCCGAGGCAGTCTCTGCAATCTTTCGCTATGCCACACGTACGGAGTGCAAGTGCTCGCATCATGCGTCGGGCGCTGGCTGTTCAAAACGGATACTGTGTGCATTTACCTATTCGTTTGCCTCTGGATGGTTTGGTGCCACCTACGTGTCTCCCACCACCAGGGCTGGAGCGGGCGACTGCCGATTTGGTTCTAGATTATCTCTTCTTGCGCGATCCACCTGTTGTTAAACGCAGTTTGGAGGAGGAGGCTGACATTACGACTGTTTCGGAGAATCTTTCTTGCCGTATGCAGGCTTCTGAGTCGCTGGTTGATGTAGGTATTGGAGTGCAGGCTTCTGAATCGCTGGTTGATGTTGGAGTGCAGACGGTTGATACACGCTTGGCGGAGGAGGAGGTGGAGGCTACCGTTGCGACTATCTCGGAGACTCTTTCTTGTCGTTCCCTTGTTGACTCAGGAGTGCAGACGGATGATGCTTGCCTGAGTGTGCTACCCAAGGAGGAGGCGGCCGTTACGACACATTCTGAGATTTCTTGTGCGGATGTTGTGGACTTTCATTGTGAAGTCGGCTGTCAGACAGAGATTGTCGCTGGGATGGAGAGAGGAGCTTCAGGGGTTCTTCTTGGGAAAGTGACTGTGGAGGCTGAGGAGGAGTTTTCTCCGAATGTGCAGGCTGATCCTGATAGCCACGCCTTGTCAGGAGCGTCCCAGGGGTGTCTGAATCGTCCCGTCACGCTCAATGGGATATCGAATCCGGGATCTGATGCGTTTGTCCGTGTCCGGATGGACGTCTCCAAGACTGTGCGTCAGTCGGAGGGGGAGTTCCAAGCTGTTCCTCCAGATTCCAAGCGTTCTGATGGAAAAGGGGATGTACGAGGGCACCGCAAGGGCAGAGGCAAAGGCCAACGATATCATAGCAGTGCCAAGCCTGCTAAGAGCTCTAAAGGCGCCAACATCGTGTTTGACGAAGTGTATAGGTTCGGTAGGACGTTGACGGACTGTGAACGAAGGTGTAAATCTCAGGTTCGGCCTCTGTGGTAGTTATTCGTTTTTCTTCGTGTGCTTCCTTTCATTCCGAACTTTTTGTATTGGATTGTTGATTGTGATTGCATTGTCTCTTTTGTTTGTGCTCTAAGAATTCTGTGTGTGCATGTTCAGTTCTTGGCCAGGTCTCCTGGCTCTCACGTCGTAACATTATCCTTGCCTTATCAAAGCCAGCTTTGATGGGGGTGTTTGTAGCCGCGGAAGTGCCTGTGGTGGGTGTGGATACTGATTGGTCTGCGGTACTAATATATCTTCTCGCAGACCGACATCATTTTCATGGATGTGTATCTTGAGGCTTGGTGTCTGCCACCAAGCGCCACTGTTGCAGTTACGGAACTATCTGCGGCGGAGCGCGTATGCGATGTGCTCACACAGGTAGTGCAGACCTTCTTTGATCATTCGCAGGGATATGTCACACATTGTTTCTTCTTTATCTGTGTTCTTGTTTAATCCATCAGCCCCGCTGTTCACTGACTCATTCGTTTTATCTTTGTGTGCTTTGCGTTTGATTGTGTCATTGCGGCATGCGTTTCTCTTTATTCCTTCAGCTTCGCTGTGTGGTATAAGAGCTGACTGCTTGCGTGATAAATAAGAGGCTCTGTTTCGCCTGATACTTTGTTGGACCTGGCCTTAGTGGCCAAGACGGTCCCAGCAAAGACGCAAAAAGACGCAAAGACCAGGTTGCCAGTTCACCGCCGGCGCCAGTTTTGTTCTCGAATTTCAACTCTTCGTTAGAGCTCTAGTATTTTTTCCCGTGATATTCGATTTCATTCCCGCTCGATCGGGTACCTTTTACTGCCAAAAAGCACACGGGCGGAATCGGCCGTTTCGAGTCATCATGATACGCGCTGTCAGTTTATTGGACTTAACTCGAGATAGAGGACAGCTACACCTGGTAAGCACGCCCTATCGATTCAGAATGAATCAGTCGCGTCCGTCTGTTGCATCTAGAGGTCTGAGCTCGGTCTGCTAGCCGAGCTAGGTCTGCAAACCTATTCGTATCATTCGAGTCATCTTGACAGGTGCTCTTGGTTGTCTGCACCAAACTCGAGTTTCAGGACAGCAGCAGAGCTGATATTTACAGAAACCGATCCAGAATCATCAGTCGCGTTTGTCTGTTGGATGCAGAGCTCTGAACTCTGTCTGCTGCCCGATCTAGAATCGCGAAACTGTTCGTATTGTTCGAGTCATCTTGAGAGGTGCTGTCGGTTTTCTGCATTAACTCGGGCTGTAGGGGGGCTACAGTGCAGGTGGTCACAGGCATCGATTTGAAGAGATCAGGCGCGTCCGGCTGTCGAATCCAGAGCTCGGAACTCCGTCTGCTGCCCGAACTAGGTCCGCGAAGCTATTTATATTGTTCGAGTCATCCTGAGAGGTGCTCTCGGTTTTCTGCACTTAACTCGGGCTGCACGGGGGCTGCAGGGCTGGTAATCACAGGAATCGATTCGAAGACATCAGACGCGTCCACCTGTCGCATTCAGAGGAGGTCTGAACTCGGTCTGATACCCAAGCTGGGTTTACCAAACCATTTGTCTTGTTCGAGTCATCTTGAGAGGTGCTATCGATTGACGCACGTAACTCGGGCTGTAGGAGAGCTATAGAGCTCGTGTTCGGCTGTTGCATCGAGAGGTATGAAGACGCTTGGGCTGAAAAACTATTCGTTCTCTGCATTTTTTTCGACATTATATATTGTCAGGAAGCTCTACGAGTCCCCCGGCGGTAAGAAAGGTTGACGGTTTACCGCCGGCGCCCAGTTCGGCCACCCGGCCAGGGCGGACAAAGTGTCATTTTTTGGGTGGTTTTGCGAATATTTAAAAGATATTTGGCCATTAATTTTGAGAAAGCAGATTTTTCGCACCTGTAGACGACTATGAGGGCCTCTGCGTCTTGATATGAGCTCTCTAGGTGCACTTACACCATCAAAACACTTGGCGGAGACAACTTCATGTCGACATGAAAAAATCATGTTTTCTCTTCTTCGAGAAATGCTTCCAGAAGCCCTCTCTTTGCATGCTGAGCACTCTTACGCGTGCAAGGAGCTCTACGAGGTTCGTCGGGGTCCAAGAGAGCCAGTTCTTACACGACTTGGATCTTGCAGATGCGGGTTGGGATATACATCGCTCGGCAGATGAAGGGGAGAACGTGGGGAGACGGGCTGCCATCTTGTGCCGAGGTGTATGGAGACATCTGCTTATCGATGTTGTGTGGTCGCCGCTGGGTCATTGCAATCTTTCGCAAGCTCATCTTCGTTTCTGTCTATCTCCCTCATAAGGAGTCTGAGCGGGGTGCACAGGGTGAAGCACGCCGTTCTCCTGAAGGGTTTCTTGCTAGTTTCAAGCTCTATACGGACGTGTTATCGGATCTTGTTGCACATGTCTCTGCGGCCAAAAAGCGATTTCACATTGAGGAGGTTGTTATCTCGGCTGACGCCAACGTGGAGGTTTTCCCGCACCACAGGATCAATGGGGTGGAGGTTACGGGGGAGGCGGTGAATGGGCCTATACGTAAGAGGGGGAGGTCTAGTGGAGGTGACGAAAGTAGAGCCAACAGGATGAGGGAGATGTACTCGGGGGCCTTTCTGAAGACCATGGGGGCCCTCAAGTTGCAGCTAGCCAACACTTTTGGGACTCGTCAGCCTACTTGGAGACACAATTCGAGCACATACGAGCACGTCTATGATTATCTTGCGGTCCCAGCTTCTTGGATGACTCCAGAGGTGACTTGTTCTTGGGTTGTGCCGTCCCAGGTCCCACGGTCGGAGGCGACGGAAAGGACGTTTAGCGATCACAAGCTCTTGTGTGCCGATATGCCCGCCCAGCATGCTCAGTTGAGGTATCGACGTCGGCCTCAGCTCAAGACCTGGAAGCTTCAGCCAGGGTTCGAGCTCCAGCAGACAGCCGGCTTGGAGAGAGCGATTTGCCAGCCCGAGCTCGTGAATCAGATCCACACGGATGTAGGTTTTGAGGTCATGACACAGAGTATACTTGAGGGTGCCAGTGAGACTTTGGATATCTCCCGTTCCCGTGGTCAGCCTGTTTCAGACTATCCCAGATATTCGGAGGAGGATTTACTGATAAAGGAGGAGTTCTTTAAGGTCAGGAAGAGGTGGAGGGTGGCACGATATGGCGGGGCTAGCGTGGGACAGGAGGAGTACGAGAGAGTCCAGGAGGAGTACAGGGGGACAGCAAGGAGGTGGCGTCGAGTACGTAAGCGTCATGATCGTGCATGTGAGCTTTACCGTATTCGTGATGGTGTCCGTCGTAGGCCTGTTATTACGCACATGTATGTTGACGGGGTCCTCACGCGTGACCAGGAGAAGTGGATTGAGGGCCTTCGGCGGCGTGGGCTCCTGAGGTACTCCAGCGATCCCCACCGACAGGACACCAACGCGTGCTTGGATGAGCTTAAGAACCAGTGTAAGGCCCTGCGAGACTCTGGAGAGCCCCACCGCAACCCGATCAACATGGGTCTCTTGCTGGAGGCACGGTCTAGACTCAGGGAAGGACGGGCAACAGGTGCAGACGGGGTGACGTCATCGGTGCTCAAAGCATTGCCATGGGAAGCCCTCCGACACATACTTACCTTATTCCGTTTGCTGTACGATCAGAAACATGTTTCACCGAAGTCCTGGAGAGAGATCTTGGTATGCTTGATGCCTAAGAATCCCAAGGCTCGTGATTTTGAAGAAACGCGGGCCCTCTCACTTCTTTCTCATTTTGGTAAGTGGTATAGCAGTTGTCTATGTGTACTTCTAGAGCACCGCGTTCGGCAGGCTGCACCGCCAGGTTGCAACTTATATGGCTTTATTGCGGGGCACAAATGTTATGAGGTCACGGCCCCCCTCAAACGTCTTGCTCAACACGGCGTTGTGTGGGGGAAGGAGGAGAGTCTTTATCTTGCAAGTGCTGACATTGAAAAGGCGTTTGATAATTTCACGGTGAGATGTGCA